AGGGGAAGCCGAGCAGGAAGAGCCACAGGTAGAGGTGTAGCGCGTTGACCCCGGCGCCCTGGTGCGGGTCCTGGTACCAGCCGCCGCTCAGCGCCGCCCACACGCCCTGGCGCAGGATCTGCAGCACCTGGGAGCCCATGGCGGCCCCGCTCCGCCGAGCCGGCCCCTCTCTATCCGCCCTGGGAGCCCGGGCAGAGCCGCGCACCGCCCGCGCTCCGCGACAGCCCGCACGGCCGCAACCGCAACCGTCGCCGCCGCCGCCGCCCCAGCAACGCCGCCGCCATCTTATGTCCGGGCCCCGGGCCGGCCGCCCGCCCCCGCGCCGCCGATAGACCGGCAGCCCTTGCGGCAGGGGACGCCTACCCCGCTCTCTGTCGCCGGGGAGGGAGGGACAACGCTGTGGGGGCGGGGGCAAGCAATACTGCGCCTGCGCGCGGCCGTCCCGCCGCCTCCATCGCCCCCGTGGTGGCCGCAGCGCCTCCTGGCGGCGTGGAGGAGGGCGACGCTGCGGCCGTTAACGCGGCGCTTCTTCGGGGCCCGAGCCCCAGCCGCAGGGCCCCGCTGCTGGCGGCGACTTCCCTGGGCTCTCCGGACGTGACAGAACCCGGGATTCCTCTCTAGCTCGGCCCCAGGGCGGCTCACGAGGCTTCTGCGTTGACAACTTCGGACTCCGTCCATTTTCTAGAGCTACAGCCACTCAGGGTTTTTCTTCCCCTTAGGCAGTGGCACCAAGGCACGGTGATACCGTGGAACGATTGGAAAAGCCCTTCGGGATCATCACGTTCCATGGTGAACACTTGCGGTGTCTAAGGTTGAAGGACACCACTTGCTGTTGTCAAGACCCAGTTTCACCAAACACCCCCGGCGCTTGTCACAGTCTGTTCCCAAAGCATTTAAAGAAAACACAGTTGTTTGGATTTCTCTCCAGCTTTTGCCAAGAAAAATGGCAACTCAGCTTCTAGATGAATCTTTTTATGGTAGGCTGCTGGTGACCAATACGGCCTGGGTTTCAAAGCTTTTCCTTTACGTACATCCCCAAAGCCATGCACCAGGTAGAAAGAAACAGATGAGGGAAAGACTTTTGAGAGCAATGCCAAGCAAGGAAGGGGGGATGTCAACTCATCCATAGGGACTGAAGACATAATGTTGAAGATTGTCCATTAAATTTCCTAACTCCAGCCATAATTGGGTGAAAAGTAGCTTTGAAGGCATGCTGAGATACTGTCTCTGCTACAGCAGAAAAATCCCACCCTGGTTCTGTCCTGAACCCCATTTCCTCTCCCTCTCAACCAGTTCAAGAGCGAGAGCTCACAACCTTCTAGGCGTCTGCTGAGGAGGAACTGCAGCGCTGAACACCCAAACAACCAGTAGTGACTCATGATGAGCATACATTTGGGCCTGTGTTTTCAAGAGACTGTGCTACTGGCACAGTCTCCCCACTGTTTTCCTCCCAATAGTTAGGTAGCCAATAGCAGCATCTGGTTATTCTTGGAAAACCAGAAGACAGAAGAGACTGACTCAAAACAGATGTAGATGATCTATTTTTTTTTTTTTTAATTTTTTTTTTTGTTTCCCCAGCAGGAAAGTAAGGAGAAGGAATGGATGCAAAACCCCAACCATGATAGCTCTCTTCCCAGTATAAACAAACAAGTTTTTAACTTTATTGTTTCAAGGAGCACATTTTTGAATATGTGGCTGCTCAAATTGAAAAGGAACTTTTTAAAAATTATGTCAAACACTGTTGAAGTAGAAGCAGAAAGAAGGATGTATAAGGGGAGGGGAAGAAAAACAACAAAAACAAACCCAAGGAACAGAAAAGCTTAATGGATATTTTTCATGGGTGAGGAGGGAGTATTCCTTCTGCTGGGACAAAGCCAAGCATGACAAGCATCACCACTTACTGTAGGCTCAGAAGAAAAAAGAAGAAAATCAAACAAACAAAAATAACCTCACAAACTATGAAGCCTATGCTTCACTCCATCATATGCCAAAACACCTTTTAGAATTACAAACACAGCTGTTAAGAGATGAAGTTCTTAGGATGTGTTATCCATAAATACACTGTGATAATGTAACCATCAGGATTATGAAGCGTTAGTTCTTCCAGCAGCTGTTTCATTAATGTTACATAAAAGCTGTTCACCTTCTCCACAAAAAGAGGAAAGAAGGATAGCATTCATTAATAATGTGTCTGAAGGCTGCTAAACACAGTAAAAACATTTATGCTTCTGTTTAAGGGCCATTGATTGAATCTGGAGAGATTAGCCTCAGCCTTACAGTAATGATTCGTGTTAAACAGAGTCCCTGTGTGACAGGCTGGAATTCCCTAGCCCTGCTCCTGCAATATTACTGGCTCAACCATGATGCACAGCAGCATAACCTAGTTCAGCACAGATAGCCCTGCTCAAGAGAACTGGATCCTGGGAGTATTTAGACTGAGTCAAGTAAAATAAGCAACAGAATCTGATGTGCATGAGAGGACAATTAAATCCCATTGTTCAGCTACTTAAATGCACGCAGGCTGAAAACATTAGGACACAAGAAGGGAAATAATATTATCTGAATCCAACCATGCTTGAAGGTAAAACTGATAATTAACTTAGTTGTAGGCATCATTAATAAAGTAAGGAAAAAAATTATGATTAGCTTTTCAAGGAAACAAAGCCCATCAAAAACAGCGTAAGAAAAGTGCATAGAAACAGTGCACCTGAATAGAAAGCAGCAGGAATACTCTCAGACTATGTATTGAGCCTCTGCAATCCAACAAATAACTGGCTTATCTTCTGTGCTCTGCTTTAGCCTTACAGTACTTCTTTAGGATGAATGTTATTCCCTACTCAGGCAAAAGAATGTACTCTAGGAAAATTAGAGTTTGATATTGGTGGAGAGTGAACAATTTTTAGATGAAATATTTAAGTGGAGACACTAAGTCAGATTATTTGAGTGCAACCTATTTTTCTCCAGCATTTCTCTTATAAATTATTATGCCAAGACTGAGGCAAAGGAGTCGTTTTGCTGCATAAGCCAGCACTATGCAGGAACAGACCAACTCAAAACTGCAATTTTTATTTTGGCCAGAAAATATTCTTAATTTCCTCACATTCTTAGTACACAGTCATGCATCTTTACAACTGCAGGCTACTGTGAAGATTTCTGTAGCATATCAGCATTACTGATTCTCTTTGCATATCCCATCTACTACAAATATGGCTGTTTGGACTTGGCCAAGGTAGAACTATCTTTTAATCATAATCAAAAACACTTTACTTCATGCCACACTCCGGTGGGTTGAAAAGGCATTTGCAAAATTAGGGCAATGCTATATGTGGTGCACGATAAAAATGTGGGCTATACAAAATACTCAGATGAAATTATCATAATTTTTGACTGACCTTATAAGCACACTTTTTGTTTTTTTCCTAAATGCTTTTCCTACATACAAGAATAAGATAATCATAACTAACAAACAAAACATCGAAACCCGTCACAGAACTGCTTCAACGTGCTAGCATTGCTAAAAAAGCAATACTGCAGCATGTTTTGGACTACTGTTTTTACCTTAGCCTTAGTATCTTTCATCTTTGCATTTGAGGAACTTACGCTTTATACTTTTTCCTCCAGTATTTCTTCCACCTTTTGTGGAATACCCAAAATTGTCATTTTAAACTTAAAGAAAACTCCTAAGCTTTATGACAATACAGAGTAGCTAATCAGGACAAGAGGTCAAACAAAAGGTTAAAACGAATATTTTACCTAAATTATGTGGAATTCACTGTCTGTAAACAAGCACATGATTGGCGTTTCCTTGTTATTTTCATTGCAGTAATTGTCACAGTTTGATACCAAGCTGTAAGTAGCTCATAAAACAATCAGCAGAAAATAAGTAAAAGACTAAATTACTAGTTTACAATTAGGAGAGTAGTACTTCTAATCTCCATGCTGGATAGTGTTGTTTTTGAAGATTGACAAACTAGGCCTTTGTGGCTCATTATCAAGTTTTATTTACTTGTTCCTATTGATTCCTTGTCTCAAGATCTATAACTAGACAGCAGCATTACAACCCTAACTCGGATCCTGCTGACACACATTTCTTAGTATGATTTGGACACAGTGCCCAAAGCTACAACTCTGACAATATATACATATATATATTTTTTCAAAAGATAGAAGTCAATGTAGTTTATTAGCATAGGTAGTGATAAATGTGTTTTAATCTCTCACTATCTCATATGAGAATTAAGAAATAGGCTTATTTATAAAGGTGATAGCAAGCAGAAGTTAATTTTGCAATATTATTTGTTAGCCTAGTTTCATTGTGAGATAAATTGTATTAAAAAAAGTCAGGAGGCTTTTCTAGACTTGCTTTTAATTGTAGTAAAATGGTTTTCAACAATACAAGACATCCCTGAATGTGTTGCCATCACCTTAGCATCTGGTTGCAGCTCATCTCCTCTTCTCACAGCTTTTAAGCACACATCTAAGTGAGAGTCAGATCCTCTCACAGACTCTACTCCCTTCTCAGCAGCTCTGCTCCCTGGTTCTCCAAAACCTTTCATGAGAAGTCACACCAGATACAGTCTTATTCATAAGAGTATCACACTGATATTCGGCCCCTGCTCCCACCTGGAATACAGCCCCTCTAGAGACAGTAGGGGAAGCATACACATTCTCTGGCATTTCTGCACAGATCAGGCAGAGATTAACAGCAGAAAGGTTACATTTCTGCTTACAAAGGCCAGGAGTCCTCCTCCCCCTGCTGTGCTGGTACGTTATTACTCACACCACACAGTGCAGCCCCAAGTTGCAGCCCCAAGTGTGCATCAGGATATAGCCTGCAACCACCTTTATCACAACCATGGCACATTGTGCTCTCCCAGCTCCAGCTGCCCCTCATGGAGACAGCCTGCCCCAGCAGCCCTAGAGACAGACCAGGGCTTCTCCTTTAAGGTAGAAGAACACTCTTCTTGCCTTCAAATATCTAGAAATGGGGGGGGGAGTGTTTCATTTCCTTCCCTCACCCAAATATCTCTATGACTAATAGATCTCTCTGTAGTATTTCACAGTGCTGCTCAGGGAAAGATCAATGCGCTAAGCAGAGGATTCTAATTACTGATCTGCAAACAGCTGAACCATGAAGCTCTCA